CCAGGAGGGGGGGACAGGCCACAGGTAGGGGATGGTGACCGGGTAGGGGATGGTGACTGGGAAGGTTATTTAAATTCTAGTCATTTAAATAAGATGCTAGAGCGTTCTAATTTCATCTTAACTTTAGCTTTTCAGAGATAAAGCAACGAATGTGAAATGGTCAAACACACAATTAAAAAAACAAAAAGAAAACTAGAAACTTAGCTTTTATTGAATTCTGAAAGCTCTTAAAAAAATAAAATGTTAACTTGAGACAAAAAAATATGGTATCTCTCAAAACCTTTAAAAATAACTAGATAATATGTATCACGTTACATGCTTAACTTCCATAATTTTTTTATTGTATATAAGGAACTTGTGCATAAAAAACTTGACTTCAGAGTGCAGTGTTCACCAGTGTTAGATTTTTTTTTTTGGAGTTGGAGTCTTGTTCTGCTGCCCAGGCTGAAGTGCAGTGGCACGCTCACGGCCACCCCAGCGTCAACCTATTGGGCTCCAGCGATCCTTCTGCTTCAACCTTCCAAGTAGCTGGGACTAAAGGCCCACACCACCATGCCCAGCTAATTTTTTGATTTATGGTAGAGATGAGGTCTTGCCTAGTTGTCCAGGCTGTTCTCGAACTCGTGGGCTCGGGCATTCCCCTCACCTCAGCCTCCCAAAGTGCTGGGATGACAGGCTTGAGCCACCGCGCCGGGCTCAGTATTCGATATTAAGGTGCAAAATTCTGAATAAAGGGAGAGATAAAGCTTGAGTCCAATCCTACACAAGTTATAACATAGGACAGGAAGCTGGACATGGTGGCTCACGCCTATAATCCCAGAGTTTTGGGTTAGGGTTAGTTTTGGGTTGTGCTGAGGCAGTGGATTGCCTGAAGCCAGGAGTTCATGACTAGCCTGGACACCATAGTAAGACCTCTTTTAAAAAAAAATTAGCCCAGAGTGGTGGCGCCTGTAGACCTGGCTACACAGGAGGCAGAGGTGGGAGGATCCCTTGAGGCCTGGAGTTCGAGGCTGCAGTGAGCCATGGCCACACCACTGCACTCCAGCCCGGGTGACAGTGAGATGCTGTCTCTACAACAAAACAAACAACAGGACAGGGAGCAGGGCGCGGAGGAAAGGGCCTCCCAAATCGCCGCAGGATTCGAGACACCCTGCGGGGTCTGCGGCCTTCCCGCAAACCTCCGGTAGCTCACACGTGCTTCAAGGGGTGCGTGCCCGTCGGCCTCGGGACCGTGGGACATGGGGCGAGGAACAGGGACACACCCTCCCATCCCGAGCCCAGGGCTGGCGCTGGAGGGGGTGTTGGGGGGCGCGCGGGGGAGAGCGCGTCCCAGGCCCCGGGTGGGGCACCCGGACCGAGCGAGCTCAG